TAGTATACTATTGTTGGATCCTGAATTGTCTTGTAGAGAAAATGACTTGGGAAAGATTGAGATGAAAAAATAAAAATAAAAATAAAAACTTCTCACCTTTTTTTTTCCCTAATATCCGTTATTTTCCTCATGAACAACATCCTCTATTTATATGTTTGGGTTGGCTATGCCCAGAAAGGGTTACATAAATGGCTACACAAAAAGAAAAACTCAATTTAAGAGAAGTAAAATGCTATCGGTGTAGCTAGCGATGTCATAAGGTTGTAGTATAGCGAATTGATAAAAGTTCATTTGCTTTGCGAAAATAACTTATCAGAAGGATTTGTCATGTTAGGCCATGTGAATTGTATGTTGAATAGACCAAATCAAGTGTCTGTATTCTGGCTGATTAGATTAGCTAAACTTAATTAAATATCCTTGATATGAAGTGTATGCAAAGTTGTCCTGGCGGATTGACCGAATTTTGCTGTGGATTTTTCGCTCTTTTTGAACATATTTAGAGTATTTTTATTTGGGCCTGAAATAAAAGCTTAGATACAACTAACATATTATTTGCATTACTGATTCTAGCCTGTGTTCTATGTTGTTCCGCATGCAGGGATGGGTTTCTGCAAATTGTGGTTCCTAAAATCAGCACTGAACTACAGAGAAGAGAGCCCACAGAGAATGTCTCCATTTTCAGAAGAGAGTAATTAGAAATCACACACAAGTTTGTATGTTTTGACTTCTGTTGAACATTTCCACCAAGATATATAAATATAAATATGGAAGATTTACATTTATACCGCCTAATTCCTATGTATTTACATTTCTTGCACTGAAATTTTTATTTTTGCAAACTTAGCATTTTACCGATGCATGAGAAGATGTAATACTTTTTGAAAATTGAAATTGTAAGTGATGAAAGATTTGGTTGGTATACATGTAAAACACAGTGTTTAGGTGTTAAAGATATGCAAAACATATAGGACTAAGATGGTATGTATGTAAATGCTGCCTAAATAAATGGTTTTTATATTGAGTTTGCCTGCTGCAATTTCTGTGCATAGATCTTGGCTAGAAATTTGTATTCTGATGATGAAATTATGGTTTTGAATGCATTGCAAAACTTATTATATTCTTGATTGCAAAGGTTTTATATTGTGCTACTCTAATGACATACTCAGAAACATCTGCTCTTCTGAAATTTCAACATTTTATATTTATATGTTTAATTTCTAAATTATGTTATTTCCTCAATTCCCCTTCCGGAGGAAATAAGGGTTGATGCCTGAGAGAGAATTTGTGGCGGTAAAATAATAAATAGTATCTTAGTGTTACACGAGAATCTAACAAATACTCATATAACTTATGACAGGTCGGAACATTAGAAATTTTTACGTGGAAAATCAGAAAATGAAAAGAATCATGAGGCCTAATATAATTTAAATGATTCACTATGAGTTGATGGTTACACATACATGCTCTTGTTTCAAGGGTGGGAAAGA